CTACCTTTCCTGTCCCCTATTTCACTCTATCATATCCATCTACTGTGCCTCTGATCAGAACATTTGACAATGGTAACCAGGTATCATGTGTTTCCTCTGATCTCTGGGTAGATACATTCATGGTTCAGGTAGCAAGCTTTATTCCATATTATTCCTGTAGTCTAATTTCTTCTTTGGGTATTTGGTTTCCTTATTTCTCTTTTGCTCTAGACATGTAGAGACCAATAGTTGTATCTTAGATTGCCATTTGAAAACCTTTGAGACACCAGACACTATTCATCTATGAATAGTGTAGAACATATTATAGTGTAGAACTTATGTTCATGTAGAACATGAACATGTAGAGCATACACATACCAATTGGTGACTATATCCCATGAGACTATGGTCCTGAGCCTTCAAATCCAGAAGACCAATGCTGGGAAGTATTTGATTTTCTAATAATCATCCATAATTGTGGCCCTTAAGTACTTTATCATATATATGACTATATATACATACAGTCACAGACCTGCGTATACCTATGAATACACCTATATTTCACAAATATACTCATACAATCACTTACATACTCCATTCATTCTTGTCTAATCGATTGACTTTAAAGACCCTATAGGACAGAGTGGAACGGTTGTGGTGGGTTTCCAAGACTGTAAATCTTTACAGGAGTAGAAAGCCTCATCGTTCTCCCACAGAGTGACTGGTGGTTTTGAATTGCTAACCTTGCAGTTAGCATCCCACCATATAATTCACTACATGACCAGGTTTCCTCTCATATATCTAAGGAGGCTTCAAAAATTCATGGGAAAATCCCTTTATATTTTCATTTCGTTTTTCCACAAAATTTTTTTTTAGGTTAAGACTTTTTTTCCAGCTTCCATCATCTTTTTTTTTTTTAACATTTTATTAGGGGCTCATACAACTCTTATCACAATCCGTACACACATCAATTGTGTAAAGCGCATTTATACTTCATTCTCAAAACATTTTCTCTCCACTTAGACCCCCGACATTAGGTCCTAATTTTTCCCCTCCCTCCCCGCTCCCCCCTCCCTCATGAGCCCTTGATAGTTTATAAATTGTTATTTTGTCATATCTTGCCCTGTACGACGTCTCCCCTCACCCCCTCCATCATCTTTTTTAAATTTTTTTAATTTATCAATCATATTGGCATATAGTTCACAAATCAGACAATTCAATGGTTTGGTTCAGTCATCTTAAGAATTGTACAATCATCACCACAATCAATTTTAGAACATTTCCTTTCATCTTGTAGTCATTGTTTCTAGATCCCAATTTCCCCTCAACCTCCCCTGCCGTACCCTCACTCACTCGCTGACCTTTTCACTCACTCACTCACTGTCATCTAGTCCATGATGACCCACAGTTACCCTATAGGACAAGGTAGAACTGCCCCTGTGAGTTTCAAAGACTATAACTCTTCATGGAAGGAGAAAACTCTTTCTCCCACAGAGTGGCTGGTGGTTTTCAATTGCCAACTTTTCAGACTGCAAGCCAACACATAGCCACTGCACCACTCAGGCTCCTTTTTGCCACACCCTCAAAGAATCCAGTTATTATATCCTGGCTTACATGTACAGGGAAAAAGACATTCGGGAAAAAATCAAGAGGTTAACACCCATAAGAGACAAAAACCTCAATCAAAAAGAGAGCAGAAAATATTAAAAACGAGAGCAAGTTTAAAATGTGTCAAAGGGGAGATCAAATGATAAGGTACCAACTTTTAAGCTAACTGCAGCTGCAATAATTCACTTTCCAATACATTCTGCATGATATAAGGTTATTCACATCCCTGGACTATAATCTGGGGGGATTCACCAGAAACTCAATCCATACATCTTTCCCCTTCCATTTTTTAAAATTGAAATAACTTGAGAATGGGTCAAAAGGGAGATCCAATGATAAGATATTATTTTTAACCTAACTACGTCTCCCATAATTGAATTTACCATGTTTTCTGTCTGATCACACGGCTATTCACATCCCTCACTCATGGCCAGAGGGGATTCACTAGAGGCTTGATCCACATATTTTCACACATTTTTAAAGCCCTTTCATATATCTATACACCTACCTATATACCTGCATATATAGTTTTGGTTGTTGTTGCTTGTGGTTCCTTCAAAATTATATATGCCATATAAATTACCAAAGAATCCTTTTCTCTTGTGTACATCTTAGTGATCATCTACCTTTGTCAAGCTGTGCATGTTTCACTCTCGTTTGGTGTTGCCTTTCCCATCACCAAAAGTAAGAAGTATTTACTCTCTGTGGAGTTCGTGCTCCTCTCCCCTACAAACCACCCCTGGTAACCACTAATGAACATTACCTTTGCTCCTTGATGTTCTACCCTATCCAGGAATATATTTGGAGCAAGGACAAATACACATAAAAATCCCCTCTGTCAAATGTTCATGAGTATACTCCCACCACCCCGCTCACAGCTCTTCCAGCTTAAAGTGTCTATCCAAGCATCTAGTCATAGATCACCATGATTATAGGATTATTTCATTAACTTTCTGAAGGCCCCTGTTTTATACATATGTGCACATTTTACTAATTTTGTGTCTCTATAGAACTTAGCCTGAGCAAGAGAATACTACATGGTTGGTTTAAAATTTAAAAATGTGTGCATCAGGGTTGTATCCTCTCACCATAGTCATCCAATCTGTATGCTGAGCAAATAATCAGAGAATCTGGATTCTATGAAGATTGGGGGAAGGCTTATTAACAACCTGTGATGTGCAGATGACCCCGCCTTGCTTGCTGAGGAGGACTTGAAACACTTGCTGTTGAAGATCAAGGACTTCAGCCTTCTATATAAACTACAATTTAATGTAAAGAAAACAAAAATATTCACAACTGGACCGATAGGTAACATCATGAGAGGCGAAGAAGAGCTTGAAGACGTCAAGGATTGCGTCTTGCTTGGATCAACAATCAATGATCATGGGAGCAGAAGCGAAGAGATCTAATAATGCATTGCATTGAGTAAATCTGCTGCACAAGACCTCTTTAAAGTGTTCACAAGCAAGGATGGGACTTTGAGGATTAAGGTACACCTGGTCTAAGCCATGGTATTTTTAATCACCTCATATGTATGTGAAAGTCAGACATTGAATAAAGAAAATCAAAGACTTCATGCATTTGATTTATGGTGCTGGTGACAATTATTGAAAGCACAATGCACTGCCCAAGAACAAACACATCTGTCTTGGAAGAAGTAAAGCCAGGATGTTCCTTAGACGCTAAGATGGAAGGACTTTGTCTCAAGTACTTTTGACAAGTTATCGAGAGAGATTTGTCCTTGGAAACAGACACCATGCTCGATAAAATAGAAGGGCAGCAAAACAGAGGGAGACCTTCAACAAGATGGGTTGACACAATGGCTGCACCATTGAGCTCAAACTTAAGAACAATCGTGAGGATGGCCCGGGACTGGGAGGAGTTTGTTCTGTTGGACAAAGGGTCGTTGTGAATAGGAACGGACTCTATGGCATCTAACAACGGAGAACAGAGGAGGTGGAAAAGAGGACTGTTCCGTTTGGGTCTGTTCCCTGCATCACCTTGAGCGATTTCCACAAGTTCCCCAAGAGGCTTCTGAACCAGAGAAGGCAGACTTGTCAGGAATCCTCAGGAAGTGATCCTCTCTCAAAAGAAGGCAATCAAAACCCGGGAATTATAGCACCAACTAAGGAGCCCTGGTGGTATAATGGTCAAGCACTCAGCTGGTAAGTGGAAGGTTGATGATTTGAACTCACCAGCTGCTCTGTGGTATAAAGGCTTGGTGATCTGCTCCCATACATAAAAACGACAGCCCAGGAAACCTTATGAGTAAGTTATACTTTGTCCTATAGGGTTACTATGTATCAGCATCAGTTCAGAGGCACACAACAACATGAGAGCAACTCAATCTTGTCGCTCAAACTTGAAACCTTGTCCACCTTCCAGGTGAACTTATCACATCTTTTTTCTATAGAGGGCAGGTCCTATGATTGAAAACTGAGAGGGTAATTTTGAACTGTAAGACATCAGGGCCCAAGAGTAGTAACCACCTGTGTTGGATGACTATAAAACAAAGACAGGATGAGGTTCAGAGTACCAGGGACTACAGAAAATTCCATCAAATTTTGGCATCAGCAGTGGTGGTGACCAGCAGAGAGGAAAGGACCAGGGCACTCGCTCAAATACAGTGGGTGAGGACCCTCTATGCACTGGTAGGAATAGCAGGCCACCAAGCACAGGTCAGAGTTTCTTTTCTTTTCCTCAGCAGCCCTGTGAGGTATCTATTTTTCCCATGAAAACAGAATCTAAATGAAAGTCTCTGTAATAATTACCAGTTTTATTCCTTTTGCCTACGACATGCAGAGCTAATTGGACAGTTACATCTCTTGGGGTGGGGGGTGAGGGTTGTAGTTCTGTTAGTAACAGTTTACTGTTTCACTGCACAGGTGATTAACAAATTATTTTCATTGTCTGCTTTTTTCTTTTCTGTTTTATGTTAAGTAATATACGTACACACATTCGTCTTTATTCTTAAAATGAGAAGATGCAAATAGGCAAAAAGAAGAAATTAAAATTACAAACCACACAAAGATTCTCTGTTAACCTTTTGGTGTATAAAACTCTAGACAGTTTCCTTTGCATTATGTCATATGAAAACGTAGCTCTGTTACGGTATTACATAAGTATCCATACATATGTATACACATATAATGTTTTGTAAGTTGTTACTTTTACTTTGCAATATACAAGGCACATCCCCCCCTTAAATGAATGAAAGTCCTTCATTCAATGGCCTGAAATTGAGTCAAAAATGAAAAGCTGATTGCAAGTCATAGGTAAAACAAAATAACAGAAATGGATTGGAGTAAAACAGTTGCAAACATTTAGCAAGAAAATGCAGACCAAAAAAGAGAAAGCAGTGGTGGCAATATTAATAATAGGAAATAGTTGAACTCAGGGCAAAAACAAATGGATTAAATGGGAGGAGGACGATCCCCAGCATGCCTATGGTTAGAATGCAGGGCCCTGAATTTCTTTCTCAAACCCCGTATCTCTTCTAAACACCTCTCCATCTCATCTCCTTCTTTTGCCATTTCTTCATCCGTAAAATGCCGATAGTCTATGTCCTCTTTAAATTCCTCGAGCGACTGGAGCAGTCTTTGCCTGAAATTCCCTTCTGTTTGCGGGCGTTCCAAGTCTCCATGAGGGCGCTCTTCCTCTCTCTTTGGCGCGCTGCACTGGGGCTTTCCTTCATTTTCTTTGCAGGGTTTTTGCATGATGTTATGGTTGCTTCCTGCTTAACTCAGAGAAGAAAACACAGAGATTGAATGCTTGCTTGCTTCTCTGGATTCAGACTTGTCCGTTTCTATTGGAGGCCCGGTTCACCTCATCTCCGGCCCCGCCCTATAGGTCCTGCCTTTGAAGTTACAGATACTGCCTCTCTCTCTGCGCCGTTCTTCCCTGCCGCCCCCTTCTACTCCTCCACTCCCAACCTCCCGGCCCCTGCATTTCCAGCCCCACTCCCCTCACGACACCCCAACCCCTTACCCCACCCCCGCTACCACCTCTCCACCACCCACCCTGTCCCATCCCTATCAGGGTAACCCACCATTTCCTAGGAGACAAGGTTAAAGGCTTCTTCCCCAGAACAGATGGGGAGGTGGCTTGTAAGATGCAAATTTTAATTAGCTTTCACCCTTCCCAGCTCCGACCCTCAGAGATCCTGGGTGAGGCCCTCCCTCACACTGACCTGATTTGGGGTAGTTTCCGCTTTTTGATGGCCTGGGAATAACAGGGCCTTGCACCTGCAGACAGAAAGGAAGAGGGTACAAGGAGGGAAATCTCTGTGGAGCTACTAGCCCCTAAAGCAAGACATGGGTCATTTTCTTGAATATGGGATTCTCCTCACCATCGTGCCTGAAATCATTTCCCCCTCCCCTCTCCCCAGCAGGCTGGATGTAGGTGAAGGGAATTATTTTCAAATTATATCTAAATGTATATTGTTCTCATCCCAGTATTCTAGCTGTTACCCATTCTACAGCCCAGGCCGACTATTTCCTCCAAGTTAGAGAAAGAAAAAGAGTTCAAAGGAGAACACTTCCTAGCTTAAGAGAAGCCTCTTATTTCTAAACTTTCACTAAATCTCTGGGTGTCTCTCAGAAGACCTGTCTCCCTATCTGTCCTCCATGGCCTCTCTCACCTGGAAACATACCGTTATTTCAGGTATTTTAGGAAAGAAAGTCAATTAGCATAGGTCCGATTCCAATCACTAGATTCAGGCACTACCACCCCAGAGATGCCAGAGGTTCCCTCAAACCAACTTGCTGGGATGTAAGGAATTTACCTCTTCCTTCCCTTGACCACAAGCAAGCGCCTACAGGGCAGTAAGAAGCTGGTACTGGGAGGAGAAAGAAGCCTGGGAATTTAAAGACTTCTGCTCCTGTCAGCTCCTGATCACGTGAAGATTATGTCATCCTCCAACTCTAGTCACCACTGTCTCCACCCACCAGCAGTACTGCAGGAGTGGAATGGCTTATCAAGCCCACACCACCCCCACCCAAGACCACACCAGGCCCTGTCACTCACTTTCGTCTTTGCTAATTCCAGAGGTCAAAAGTGGCCCCTTCTCTTGGTGGCTGGAATTTGCCTTTCTCTCATTACCAGGGAGGAGCTGCATCTTTCCATAGACATATTAATCATTGCTACATTTTTAGTGTTGTGTTGAGAGGAAGGATTATTTTTTCTTTTCTAGGTGGTAGTCTTCCTTTCACCCAACCTTTCCACCAGCCACAAATAACCATCCTATTTCCTTTGCAGTCCAATCAATTGAAACACATTTGGGGGCAGTGGGTCAGTTAAGAAGTGAAGCAATGACTTAAGTTTGAGGTTGTTTGGAATCGGTTTTCCCCTGATAATATCCTATTCAGTTCTAATGTCCTATAAAGGTAGCATATCCTTTTAATGAACAAATTGTGATAAATGTATGTACATTTGCAAAAGGTTTCAAGGGAAAAGGAAAAGAGATCTAGCCACCTGTTTCTGATACTGTGTCATAAATATAAATATAGACCTCCAGGCAGACACAGTTTTTAAAAATTGCACAGGGCAATTGGAGTTTCCCCTTGTGAGAACCTCCTGGGCATCCAGGGCCCTTCCATTAGGGAAACCATGAGGCCCTAATCCCACATACCTTGTTCTTAGAATTTCATATATCAACTAATGAAATGTCACAGTTCCATTTTAGTATCATGTCCCTTCTTTCCCATTTTTAACCATTCCCATACTCCATATACTCCCTTCAAGATTTGCCCCCAAAAGCATCCACCATTTTCTCAGCACCTTCAATCAGAATCCAATCAAAAATTTTCATTTTCCAAGATATTTCCACCTTATTTACATGTCCCCGGGCCTTATTTGGGATCCCTGGGTGATACAAATGGTCAAGCACTGGCCTACTAACCTAAAGGCTGAGAGATTGAATCCATGGAGAGGCACTTCAGAAAAAGGTCTGTTGACCTACTTCCAAAAGATCACAACCATTGAAAACTAAAGAATGAAGTCAACTGTGAAATACAGTTGGAATGGACACCATGGCAAATGGCTTGGTTTTTACTTTGTGGGTCTTATTCAGAGGGTAGTGGTGATTCAGGAATAGAATCTAGAGATGATTTCTTATAATACCAAATACAATATAAATGTGACATATGTAACACATTACCCTCCCTCTTCGCCTTTGAAGGATTGCTTTGATCACTTAATTGCTTTTTAGAAGCCATTTTTTAGCAGTAACAAAGAGTGCACACAATACAGGTATGGAACAAATGAGTCATGAAGCTAACAGTGCTCACAGAAATATCAGTGAAATGGTGGGAGGCTAAAGCAGGGTAGGCCTACACATCAATACTTTTGAATGGTTTCAAGCATAGTATTTAACATGCTGAAAATTCAACTTTTGCTTTTTGGACTTCCCTGGGATTTTTTTCTGAATTATTTTCAATTATTTACACCATTTGTTTGTCAGTTTGTCATACTCTGGTGGTTTGTGTGCTTCTGTGATGCTGGAAATTATGTCACTGAAGTTTCTAATACAAGCAGAGTGACCAGCTTTTAACAGAGCTTTAAGACTAACGGAATATGAGAAATGGGAGATTAGTATGAAAAAATCAATCACTAAACACCTTGAGAATGGCAGTGAAACATGGTCAGATGATGGAAATCTAATGAATAGAAGCAGAACCTTGTCAGAGAGAGTGCCAGCAGATGAGCCCCTACGGTCAGAAAGTGCTCAAAATATGACTGAGGAAGAGCTGCCTTCTCAACCATCATGAATTGCTTGGAGTAAAGTCTTTGGGACCTTCATTTGCTGATGAGGCATTACTCAAGTTAAAAGAAACAGCTGCAAACATCAATTAATAATTAAAGCTTGGAACGTACAAAGTAGGAATCTAGGAAAATTGAAAGTTGTCAAAAACTGAAATGGAACACATAAGGGTCAATAGCTTAGGCATTTGTGAGCTGAAATGGGCTTATGTTGGACATTTTTAATCAGAAAATCCTATGGTTTACTATTTTGGGAATGAAACAATCAAGAGATGTGGCATTGCCTTCATCACCAAAAAAGAAAGGGAGAAAAGGACATTTCAAGATTTATCTTGAAGTACAATGCTGTTTATGACAGTATAATATCTATCTGCATACTGGGAAATCCACTGAATAAAACAATTATTCAAATTCATTCACCCACAAAAACTAGTGTTGAATAAATCAAAGAATTCTACCAGCATCTTCACTAATTACCAACTTTATATGGAGAGGAAGAGACCCAGGATAAGCAAATAACTTCTTAAAAAGAAAAGTCAAGTACTACCTGACCTAAACACCTAAACACTACATAGCCACAGTAGTCAAACCAGCCTGGTACCGGTACAATGAAAGATACATAGACCAATGGAACAGAACAGAAAACCCAGAAGTAAATGTACCCACCTACAGGTAACTGATCTTCGATAAAGGACTTAAAACTTTCAAATGGGATAAAGACAGCCTCTTCAAAAAATGGTGTTAGATAAATTGGATCTCTATATACAGAAGAGTGAAACAGGACCCATATCTCTCCTCATGCACAAAACAAACTTAATATGGATTAAAGACCTAAATATAAACCCTAGAGTTATCAGGATCACCAATGAGAAAATGGAAACAAACTTAAGGGCCCTATTGCAGGGCATACATAGACTACCAAGTATAATATAGGAAGAACACACAATGGAAACCGCAATTGATGCCTGGGACTTGATAAAAATAAATCATTTATGCACATCAAAAGACTAAAAGGAGAGCCCACAGATTGGTCAAAAATGTTTTAACAATGCCACAAATTAACAAAATCTACAGAACTCCACAACACCTCAATGAGAAAATGAAAAGTGACCCAATTAAAAAGTAGGAAAATGAAATGCTCGGTGCACTAAAAATGACATTCAGATGGCTAACAAACACATGGGAAAATGCTCACGAGCTAGTCATCCGGGAGATGCAAATGAAAATTACAATGAGATACCGCCTTACACCCACAATAATACCCCAACTTTAAAAAGAGAAAAGTAAACAAATGCTGGCAAGAATATGAACAAAAGGAAACATGTATATACTGCTAGTAGACTTATAAATACATACAACCACTATGGAAAGCAATATGGTGCCACCTAAAACAACTGGGAATGGGAATGTCATGTGATCCAGAAATACTGTTATTGGGCATATACCCCAAAGAAATAAGAGACACAACATGAATGCACATATGCTTTCCCAGGTTTGTTGCAGCACAGTTCACAATAGCAAGAAACAGAAAGCAGCCCAAATGCCCAGCATTGGAAGAATGGATAAAGGAACTATGACACATACACACAATGGAACACTATGCATCCCTAAAAAACAGGGACATAAACACGAAAACACCGCATGGCATGAAGGGACCTGGAAACCATAATGCTGGGTGAAGTTAGTCAATCACAAAAAGACAAATACTCTATGAGCCCACTACCGTAAGGAAAAACACTAAGACATAGGCAGGTTTCTGCTCTCAGGCTACATACATTTCTGATCTGGTCTCCCAAACAGAGGGGTAGAGAACCTGGTTGGCATCCATGAACCATACCTCACCCCGCTGATATGCACATCTTAAGAGCCACTTCGAAAGAGGAGACCTAACCTCAGCTGGGTCATTCCTTCGAGAAAGGAAGAAAAACATCCACACAGCATTGATGCCGTACATAAT